CCGGGGCGAGGAGCCCACGAGACCGGCGTCGCGGCTCCGGGCTCTCGGTGGGGTCAAACCAGTAAGGCGCGGGGGTGACGTGGCGCTGCCACGTGTGGTCGCACGGCTCCGTCCGCGCACCCCGCCAGCGCAAGCGGGTCCTCGACTGCCGCGTCCGCCTGCCAGGACAGCCACGGTGACAGCCACGGTTACTCCTGCCACGGGCCTTCCCCGGGGCCGGAAGCAGCCGAGCTGCTGGCCATGCGACCCGGCAGCTGCCCCCAGGAGGCTGGAGTGGGGTCCTCCGGGGCTCGCCGGACTGCATGGACCCAGGACAGGCCGACCTCTCCTTTAAGAAAAAGCTCCTGGCACAACCCTGGGAGCAGGAGCCCCAGGACGCGGCGGCGCTTGTTACCGGACGTGGCCTCGCAGCGCCCTTTGCCAGTGAGCTCTGGCAGGAGGCCTCCAGACTAGGACGGCTCCCCGGGACTGGACGGGAGCCTGGCCCGAGGCCCTCCGAGCCGTCTGGCCCTGCGGAGAGGCGTGCGCAGCCGCAGGGAGCAGGGCTGGTGTGGCCACGGCGAGCCAGGCCCAGGCCGCCCCGGCGGCTGAGGAGCGCCTCGGACGCCCTGACCCAAACCCGCCCTGCTGCCTGCTCCCGCCTCCCTGTGCTTGGCTGACGTGCACACTCAGAAGCTTCGCCTCAGGCTCGCCGTCCAAAATGGAGGACAAACCCTGATTTTCCTCAACAAAGAAAAGTCTGAACAAACACTTGAGCGGGGAGGCGGCGGCGCCACGTCCTGCACCAAGCCGGCCTCTGGCCGCAGGTCCGCGCGGTGGGCTCAGGCCCGCAGCGCTGCAGGGCCCCTCCCTCTGGACTCCCGCGTGGGCCTCTCACAGCGAGCGGCCCGGAAACGTATGTGAACTCGGTGCAGCTGGGGGCGGCTCCTTGGCATCTGGGATGCGGTGGCAGGCTTAGGACGTGGTGTCTCCTGGAAGCCTCGAGAAGCTCTCCAGCAAAGCAGACGGGTCTCCCTGTCAGAATGCCTGGGGCCACGAATTCAAGCGAAGGGTGTCCCCCAGCCCCCGACCTCCCAGGGTGTCAAGAGACACTGAAGGTGGCGGGCCGGGTCGTGGAGCGGGAGGGCAGCGTCCAGCGTGGAGAGGCCAGCCAGGGCGTGAGCGAAGCCGAGGCGATGCAGCTGGAGGGGGGCTCGCCGGCTCGGGGCGGGGTGCTGGGCTCCCCCTGCACGGTGCAGGCTGGCCCCGGGGAGTCTCGAGTGGAGACAGGACGGAGAACCGGCCGGCTACAAGCAGAAGCTCGGCTGCGCACACAGCCTTGGCGACCTTAGCAGCTGGAAGAGTCGGGTGAGAGGACAGGCCCGTCAGCGGCCGCCTGGCAGAACTGCAGCTAAACAGGAATTCTCAGGAGGAAAGAGATGCCTCGCTGCCCAGGAAGTTGCCGTCAAAAAATCCGCGCTCTGACAGTCAGCCAGAAAGAAAACATCCGCGTCCCAGAGAGGAGAGGCGGGAGAGGCCGCCAGCCTGGGGTGGGGACTGCGGCGCCGGGAAGGCGAAGGCCAAGACTGCGCGACTTCAGTGGGAAACGGTCAGCAGAGTTGGTCCAGGGGATCCCTGGCCACGAAACACGCCATTTTGTAGCTTAAAGAGAGGACTGAAGTCCTGGGTAGCAACCGGGTTAGAAAGGTGCTTGCTCGGGGCTCTGGGGGGGCGGGCGGGTGCAGTCACCAGAGAAACGCTGCGGAAGGGCCCTGGGGCGCCGTCTGGTGCAGAGAAAAGTCGGAGCGGAGCCTGACGTGGTCAGAAAGGGGTTGCGAGCCAGGCTCGGGCGTCCGTGTGGGTGCCCGGGGCCTCTAAAGCACCGACGGGTGGCTGCGAAGCGAGAGCGACACGGTGGGGTATGCCCCTCGGACGCACCCCAAGCGTGCCAGGGGCGTTTCTGTGCACCTGGCTTCGTTAAAAACACAAAAAGCAAACTGCTGAGTTTAAGAGAATGTTCTGTGGGCGCAGGGCGAACAGGCTGGGCCCAGGCCGCGCCGCTGTGCCCGGTGGGGGTGGCCCGGGCGTGGGGCCGGGAAGGGG